AGCAATGCATAAATACGTGATGCTGTTTTGTTCATAATTGTTTATGCAATTTACGAAATTATATTTGATTTATATTAGTTAATTTAGATGTAATGCACATTTTTTATAGACTATTACTTCCTTGCATTGAACATTTAAAATGTGCTGCATTATTTTGCTCATCACTTGAGTTTTTTGCTTCTAACAGTGGAAGCAACTACTCCTTTTAGTCCTAAAGATAATTGGAATTGTAAAAGGTTTGCCTTTATTTGTGTACATTCACAATAAAAACAAATATTTGTGCCCATGTGAATCCTCATGTTCTGCTGTGCTCAGAGGCAACCACTGCATTTTAATCACGATCCAAACAAAGATGCTAAATACATGTTATTTAGATTGCAATTAGATAGTATAATTTCGAAATGTGAAGCAAAAACACAATGGTCTGATTTTAACTTTGTGAATGAGACGCAAATGTCACTCTCTGACAGCAGGTGGTGCTTATGGAACAGCAGGTATTTATAGGCTGCTTCCCCTTTAAGACCGAATGTACGGATCCAATATAATGATGCACTTGAGATTTCTTTCACCACTGTTTACGTTCATTTAAGACAAAACCAACTGTGTTTACGAGAATACTTGCCGAGAAGTTATTTTGAGATCATTTTGTGCGTATGTGTTCATTCAGATGCAAGGATACGCGAAAGAGGAATCAATTCTGTGTACGCGCATTGTCTGAAACGCGGCTCTCTGTGCACGCAGCTCCGAATGCACGTGAATGGTTTAACACTTGAATGTTTAAATCCTCAAGACTTAGAAACACGTGCAAACGATCAACTACAATCTGTTTTACCCCTACAACGGAACAACACAAATCAAGGAAGGAATTTTATATCACTGCTCAAGATAGCCCATCGGGCAGGGTGGTGAAACATTTTGGTAGGCCGAATACTCGGAAGAGAGGGGCGGGGTCAGCAGAGCTCATTAACATTTAAAGGAAGATGCTACAAAACGGCTTGCTCTGAAACTAGCTGTTTTTGACAGGGTAAAAAAAATTGTTTTTTACACTACCATTGAGAAATTTTAACCAAACTATGTTACAGACTTTTCATTAAGACCCTAAAGAATCATATCAACTTGTGGAAAATGGGCAGCCAATGACCCCTTTAAAAGATTCTGAAAGGTTTTCACACTGTTTTAAGAAGACTTTATATACATTTATTTTTACTTTTACTTTTACAGTAGAAACTGTTACTGTAGTAAGGTATTTTGGTGGAAACTGTACACTTTTGTAAGGGTTTTTCTCTCAGCATTTCTGAAATCAGTAAATGTGTTTTTAATTTACCCTCCTGCTATGAACTCAACAAACCCTCAACATCCACACAACATTATTCACTCTCCATCCTTGTGAAATCTGGCCTTAATTTTGCCAGAGAGACCAGCTTCATCAGGCTTCTGCTTTGGTACTTTGGGACGGGCCAATTAACTGCTGCACTAATGAAGAGCTCCACTCATTTACACAAATCACAGAGAACGAAAGAGAGGAAACGCTAAATATATCACTGATTAGACAAAACTCAACTAGAACGCAAACCTTAACACATCTGGAGCTGAATTTATGAGCCCAAACTACTGACCTCGGATCAGTCTGCTGCTTTGTCTCAGGTGGAACACTGTTAATAAGAACAGGGTGATCTGATCTCAGGTCAGTATTTCTTCTAAAATAAACAAGAGCACTGCAGATAATGTTTATTACATTTAGTGTTTTTTTATTTATTTATATATTTTTTTTTTTTTTTTTACTTTGAGATGAGTAAACCTCATATTTTCAAAAATAAGCAGATCGTTTTATTATTACTGGTTGTAAACGGTTTACTCAAGCTTGACCTCGGAAAAATGTAAAAATAGTAAGGGGCACATAAAATAAAATAAAATAAAATAAAGGTCACTTCTATAAAGTTAAAAAATTAAATAAAATAGTACAGGGTAAAATATCATGGTAATTTCTAGGATGTTACAGACAGACAGACAGACAGACAGACAGATAGATAGATAGACAGATAGATAGATAGATAGATAGATAGATAGATAGATAGTAAAATAAAATAATACAATAAAAATAATTATTTTAAGGGAACATATAATGTGATAGCATTTAATTTGAACATAATTTAGGAAGTTAAAATGGAAGTGAATTAAATGAGAAGTCAGCCATAGTCTGCTCATTAGGAAACAGGAAATAAATGTGAGGCCTGCAGTATCACAACCAACCTCTTGGAGCAGTAGAGAGTTACTTGAGTAACCTCTGTACTGTCAATAAACCAAAAAAAGTCTAAAAGTCTTTGTTGTGAGCTTTTTATTTAATTACCAACAAAAGGAAAGTTTCCAAAACTCCAAACACACTCACACATCAAGGGCTCTGTTTCTGTTCATCAGTTGACACCATGAAACTGAAACACCATAAAACACCATCAACGTGAAATTCCCCAAAATACACTCATATCCAAAGTCTGAGTCACACAAGTATACAAATAAATAACTGTAAAAACTGCTTTGAGGGAACAAAAAGTGAACAGTATCATACACATTATCAAAGGCTGGTTCACAACATTCATCCAAAGATACCAACATGGTTAGCATGGTTTTCGTTTTTGCATGCAACCAAAACCGACATTACAGGCACCTTATAACATCTCTATCTCTCCTGAACTTTTAGTCAGAATTAAATATTATCACATGGTAAATTAGAATATTAATTTGTTCTATTTTAGTTTTCTGCCCCGAGGAGCGTTAAAAACACTTGACAGATTCCTGCTGACCTAAAAACTGCTGACACAGGAAGTGGCTTAGCGAAGGTGCAGATGTAGAGCGCTGTGGTGACGGATGTGACTGAGCTACTGAACACACGGGGTCAGTGTGATGATCTTATTAGCGCCGTTTGCTCAACAGACATGAGTGATTCCTCGAATAACGCAGCCTGCTGAGAAGTTAGTCCAGTTAGGCTTAACAGTTTCAGCACACACACATTAGCCATGTTTGCATGCAACTGAGTAATCTGTTTGACGGCTCAGTCAGATTGAAAAGCCTTCACGTAAGCACCTCAACATATCCGATTGAGCTTGATCCAAATTAAATTTCAACTGGATTGGAAGAAGTGGTCAATAGGAATCCAATTAATAGGAAAAAACTGAGCAAGAAAATGGTTGAATCTGACTATTTTCTCAATCGGATTCAGAAATGCCTTCAGCAAACGTTCAGTGCAGTTATACTTATGTTTACATACAATTACTTCATATTACCACGCATGTTCATTTCCGTCTTGTGAACTGTTCGTCGTAAGTGCGTTGCTGGGGTGATCTAATTGTTTGATAGCACGTTGCTATGCGGTTGATGGGGTGCTCTGAGCGTTTGATAGCACGTTGCTATGCGGTTGCTGAGGTGATTTGAGTGGATGATGCTGCGTTGCTATGCAGTTGCTGTGGTGATCTGAATGGTTGATGGTGTGTTGCTATGCGGTTGCTGGGGTGATTTGAGTGGTTGATGGTGTGTTGCTATGTGGTTGCTGGGGTGATCCGAGTGCTTGATAACACATTGCTATGTGGTTGCTGGGGTGATCCGAGTGCTTGATAACACATTGCTATGTGGTTGCTGGGGTGATCCGAGTGCTTGATAACACATTGCTATGTGGTTACTGGGGTGATTTGAGTAGTTGATGGTACGTTGCTATGCGGTTTCTGGGCTTATCTAAGTGCTTGATAGTGCGCTGCTATGTAGTTGCTTGGATGATCTAAGTGCGTTGCTATGCAGTTGCTAAAGGTATCTGAGTGCTTGATAGTGCATTGCTATGTGGCTGCTGGGGTGATTTGAGTTGTTAACAGTGCGTTGCTATGCGGTTGCTGGGTTGATCTGAGTGCTTGATAGTGCGTTGCTATGCGGTTGCTGAGGTTATTTGAGTTGTTAACAGTGCATTGCTATGCGGTTGCTGGGTTGATCTGAGTGCTTGATAGTGCGTTGCTATGCGGTTGCTGGGGTGATTTGAGTTGTTAACAGTGCGTTGCTATGCGGTTGCTGGGGTGATTTGAGTTGTTAAAGGGTTAGTTCACCCAAAAATGAAAATTCTGTCATTAATTATTGTAGAACCACTGTAGTCACATCGACTGTTTTAACGACGTCTTTAGTACCTTTATGGATCTTGAGAGTTTGGGTGGCGTTGCTGTCAGTGGAGGCCTCTCTGAGCCATCGGATTTGATCAAAAATATCTTAATTTGTGTTCTGAAGATGAACGAAGGTCTTAGGGGTGTGGAACGACATGAGGGTGAGTAATTAATGACATAATTTTCATTTTTGGGTGAACTAACCCTTTAATAGTGCATTACTATGCAGTTGCTGGGATGGTCTAAGTGCGTTGCTATGCGGTTACTGAGGGGATTGGAGTGGTTGATGGTGCATTGCTATGCAGTTGCTGGGATGATGTGAGTGATTAATGATCAGTACTGGTCAGTGGAGGACATTGAATATGTATTAAATATTTGTTGCAAAAGCTCTTCTGACATATCAGTTTTTTTTAGATGTGTCATCAAGGCAAAAACTACACTTATATTCACAGTCGCTCCAGCTAAGTTATCGCGCAGACGTTTTGTTTGGAATTTAAGAACTGCACATGTAAACAAATACATTAATCGGATTTCAAAGTTAGGATTCATACAAACAGAACTTTCAGAATCTCAAAACGGATTGAAAATTAGTGCATGTAAACATAGCTATTGTGCATTATGAGTGTGTTTGGTAGGGGTTTTTCAATCGTCATGAGATATTTTGAAGTTATGCTCATTGTAGAAAATAGAAGCGTCTCTCTCTTCGTTCAATAGCCTCTGTTCATTGTGGCTGGCGCTTGTAGGCGGTTTGCATTCAGGGAGAAATATTTGTGTGAGATGTTGAGCAGTTTGTGTGTGTTTCTGTGTGTGTGTGTGTGTGTGTGTGTGTGTGTGTGTGTGTGTGTTTCATGTGAATGCCAGTCCATTGGTCTTTCACACAGGGTCTTTGTGCTGCAGAAAAAGGCAGAACAGAGCTACTGTAACCTCTTAGTCATGATACACAGAAGGGTCACACACACTTGGATGGTCCTATAACCAACATTTTTCTTTGTGCCATGAAAACGTCCAAAATTAACTTAAACGTCTTCTCTTCGCACAGTAGGGCATCATAACAAGTACACTGCTCTGAAATATTCCAACGATTTAAAACGTCCAAGAGAACATCACCCCAATCACTCCATAAACACTGCTAGCATCATAAATCTCAAATGCTAACATAAAAATCCCTTTCCGCTACTAAGAGAAGGTCTCACATGTTCATAAACGCACAACACAATGAAAAACTGTGGGATTTTAGACTTCTAAAGTTACCACTTGTGCCAAATAGTTCTGAACGTTTGCAATGGGAATTCTGTGTGTTGCTATGTGGTTGCTAGGGTAATATGAGTGGTGGATAGGGTGTTGCTATGCAGTTGCTGGGGTGATTAAGGGGTTGACAGTGTGTTGCTATGCAGTTGCTGGGGGATCTGAGCGCTTGACAGCGTGCTGCTGTGCGGTTGCTGGGGTGATCTGAGCATTTGATAACACGTTGCTATGCAGGTTGCTGGGGTGATCTTAGCATTTGATAACACGTTGCTATGCGGTTTCTGGGTGCTCTGAGTGTTTGATAGCATGTTGCTATGCATTTGCTGGGGTGATCTGAGTTGTTGATAGTGCGTGGCTATGCGGTTGCTGGGGTGATCTGAGTGTTTGATAGCACGTTGCTATGCGGTTGCTGGAGTGATCTGAGTGTTTGATAGCACGTTGCTATGCGGTTGCTGGGGTGATCTGAGTGTTTGATAGCACGTTGCTATGCGGTTGCTGGAGTGATCTGAGTGTTTGATAGCACGTTGCTATGCGGTTGCTGGGGTGATCTGAGTGTTTGATAGCACGTTGCTATGCGGTTGCTGGAGTGATCTGAGTGTTTGATAGCACGTTGCTATGCGGTTGCTGGGGTGATCTGAGTGTTTGATAGCACCTTGCTATGTGGTTGCTGGAGTGATCTGAGTGTTTGATAGCATGTTGTTGTGTGGTTCCTGGGGGATCTGAGTGCTTGATAGTTAGTGCATTGCTATGCAGTTGCTAAGGGGATCTTAGTGGTTGATAATGCATTGCTATGAGGTTGCTGGGGTGATCTGAGTGGTTGATAGTGAAATGCTATGAAGTTGCTGGGGAGATCTGAGTGGTTGATGATCAGTACTGGTCAGTGAAAGATACTGAATATGTATTAAATATTTGTTATAAAAGCTCTTGTGACAGACATATCAGCTTTTTTAGATGTGTCATCGGCAAAAACTACACTTATACTTCTTGGTGGTTGCTAGGGTTTCTTTAACTGTACTGAGAGAGATAGAGAGAGAATAGCATGAAAGTGATTTGCATTTTTACGCATTTCCTGATGTAACCGCTTCAGTTCTTAAAAAAGTAAATGAAGTGGTTTTGGGTGGAGTCCATCTGTCTGTCACATTCAAAGTCCCACCCACAACTGAGTGCTGGAATTTGAGTCACTTTGACTGGAAGGATGACACATTAACACACACACTCATATGTTCATCCTGTGTGATCTCAGCCACACAAACTCACTTTCAAGCTTTGCTGATGTGTGCTGGAAAGTCAAGAGTCCAAGCTGACACAGGACAAACCACCCTGATAACTAGCCTATAGCCACTGATGAATAATGAATTAGTCATTGTTGATTAAGCGTTCATTGAAGTTTATGTGTTAATTTTGGTAATAGAAAAACCTACACAAACCAGTGAAACCTTTCCATAAGCTAATATCATAGAATTAAATTACAAACTCTAATAACTTTAAAAGGTTTTAGTACTCAAGTACTCAGGTCAAAAATGCAGGGGGCAAAATTCATTACAATTATAAAAGGGTTTTATGAACACTCTTACAAACTTGCATTTTATCCTTATAATAATAATTCAATATGGATCAATTTTTTTTTTTAAATGTTTAATTATTTTTCATATTATAAAATATTTACTTAAAAATACTAAGTATTATAAAATAATAATTTATTAATATATTGTTCATAGTTTTATTCATAGTTTTATTCATATATATAAATATTAGATAATAGAATAACTTCTATTATCGAATAAGAGAGATCTTAACTTTAAGAGGTTATTTAGAATGATTTATTTAGAATGTTGTTGTAGTTTTTTTCAAACATTTTAATTTGTTTTAAATTTTATTAAAATTCTTAGGAACAAAATATTTTTCTTAAGCTTAAAATTAATAAGAAATTTAAAAAGTAGGAGGAATTTAATTCTTAAAAATTGTTTCATGAATCCAGTCTCAGGACTCCAACGTAAAGCCAACTGGACTTTACTGCACGGCTACTTACCAAATAAACAAATAAAAATTAAATATTTGGTTTCAAAATTGTGCAGAGTGATACAAGAGACATAACACTAAGAAATCAGTATCCTAAGACAATGATTAATTATGTAGTTTTAAGGTCATCATACAAAATATTTTAACACATGCAGAATGCCACATTAGACCAATCAGAATCAAGTATTCCAAAGTTGTTTGACTAGAGATTGTATACTATAGTAATTGTATGTCCAGTCTAGTCGTTGAGGGATGCGTTCACTATGACTACTCACACTGATGTGCATCTTCATCTCCAGGAGCTTCTGCAGGTACTCCTGCAACAGGGTGAGAGGCAGAGGGGCCGGAGGGTCCGGTTCCTCCAGGAACCAGCGGAGCGAACCCACCGACCGCTGTCTGTTCAAGTAATCATACAGCTCTTCATGCATCATCATGGGCTAACACACTAAAGTCAGCGAAATTATTACGAGAAACTAAAAAATAGGTAAAAATTACACTAAACGTCACACAAATGTCTAAAAAGTTGAGATGAAGGGAAAGAAATTAGTTCCAGCTCTGAGCCACTGTGGAATGTGCCCGATTACCCATCATGCACTGGGAGATTAAGCGACGCAGTGAACTTTGCTTGATGCCGTTTTTGTTATTAAGCTGATTACCCGCTAGAATTCGGCTCAAAGAAACACACAAACATTGTGAAGTTGCATCAACAATGCACTTTCTTCCCCACACACCTTCAAAAACCCAATCCCCAGACTGATTTGTGCAACTCAAACACACTTCACTCATTGTTGAATTTCCAGCATTTATCCGTTTTGTTCTCCTGCCTAATGATCCTTTTTATTACGTTACATAAGACGAGTTCCGACTTCACCTCTGAGGATCTTAAAACTGAGATTTTCATAGGTAATGAAACCCAGAAATGAAACTATGAAGATGTTGTGGGTCATGGCGTGATATTACACACTACCGGACAAAAGTTTGGAATAATTACGATTTTTCTGTTTCTCTTCTGCTCACCAAGGCTGCATTTATTTAATCAAATATACAGTAAAAGTGTAATATTATGAAATATTATTGCAATTTAAAAAAAAATATATTCATTCCTGTGATGCAAAACTGAATTTTCAGCATCATATGAAGCAGCACAACTGTTTTCAACATTGAAAACAATAAGAAACACTTCCTGAGCAGCATATCAGAATGATTTCTGAAGGATCATGTGACACTGAAGACTGGAAAAGAAAATTCAGCTTTGCATCACAGGAATAAATTACATTTTACGATATATTCAAATAAAAAACAGTTATATTATATATTATAAACTGTAATAATATTTCACAATATTACTGTTTTTACTTGCCTTGGATGATAGACTTCTTTCAAAAATATTTTAAATATTTCCAAACTTTTGACCAAACACACTCCATTGGTTGGTCACGTAACATGTCGATAAAATATACAGTCTCTTCCTGTCTCAGTGGGCAGCTCTTGGCCAGAAAAAGCTTCAAATTGGCCTAGACTTGACTTTGACAGTGAAAAGTCTGGCTTGGCAGGACTAGAAGTGGCCAGACTTTATGGATGTGGTCTGTCGGTGTGCTGCTAGCTGGTATCTGTCCTGTTGTCTTCTGGAAATACATCTTTATAGAAGGTTGCCCAGCCTTCAGAAAATACAAACAGACAGACAGCTGCTGGAGCACAGTGCACATTTATGTGTGTTTCTTTAACAGTGGTATGCTCAGGGAAAGCACAGCATGCTTGAATGTGTGTGTGCAAGTGTGTTTAATAGTGACAGGGAAAGTATACCGGGTATGTGAGGTATGTGTGCCAGCGGAAATCTGATACACACTCACCCACCCACACACAGACCCATGTGCCAAATACACAGGCACTTCCTACATGTGTTCTGAACTATTAAAAGGTGAAGAATTTTAAGTCAAGGTTTGAAACTCATTTTACTTCCATAATATTACAGAATTCCAAGTGAAATGGGATGTTCAATGAGAATTCGTTTGAGAATTGATTGGAAGTGGCTCTATGTGAAAAGCAGTTTAGGGGGAGGGCTAAAACATAAGAGGGCTCAATGATGTCAGCGGAAAAGGAAAGTTGTTAATGATAGAAGATTCTGAAAACAAACCAGTGTTATTTTTGTTTATGAAAACTAAAATTAAAACTACATAAAAAAAATGTTTAATTATCTGAAAAAAACTAAAGTAACTAAAACTCCAAAACTAAATTCAACTGAAATAAAAATGGCCACAATTTATTTAAAAATATAAAAATGTCACAATTTAGCAATAACATTACTGTGCTGTGAGAAGCCGAATTTCAAATAAATATTTTCAAATTATACAATTTTGTGCACTAAAATATTAAAACTTACAAAAAATAATAAAATAAAACTACCAATGATAAAGGAACTTCTAAACTGAAAAAATACACATTTAAAATATAATATTAAAAAATATCATTCTAATTTCATTACATAATTATTTTTGTAAAATAATTTTATTTATATAATATTTTAGAAATATATATTATTAATTATATATATAAAACAATAATTATATTTCAAATATATAATATAAACAATAAGACTGTAAAGGTGCACTGATAAAGTGAATAAGGTCAATTCTGATATTGACATCAAGTCAATTAAATAGTTTAAATTCATACACAGATCCTGTGGTCGAAATTGCATCCTGTCAATGACAAACTAACAAACTGATATTGATCATTCACATTCATTTCACAGATGCACACACACACACACACACACACACACACACACACTTCTTCCTGTCTCTGTCTTCATAAATAGGTCGCTTATGTTCAGAGTGTTATGAGAGAAGAGAAGCCTTCTCAGGTTTAGTGCCTCTCCATCCTGAAACACACACACACACAACACTGCATTTGCACTGATA